CATGCAATTCAAGTTTAGTCATGGACACAATCATCCCCCACCCCCTACCACCNCCCCCCTCCTCCCCTCCCTTTATTTCTTACTTTCTACACTTTTTAGTAGCTTTATTCTCATTTCCAACTTCCTATTGAATCTATGTAAGAAAATCACAGGAGAAGATGTTTCCGGGAAAAAACCCTGGAAATAAAAACTTTGGTAAAAAAGTCCCAATTTCCTGGAGTCCTGGGTTAAAATGCCACTGGAAATAAAGTCCAGCTGGGTTTGGGATTCTTGGGTTTTTCCCTCTAAAAACAGGAAATAAAATCTTAAAATGGTAGGACTTTATTTTCAAAGACATTTCATGCAGTTTGGAGATTTTCGTCAACAATTTTCCATATTAACTTTATTTCTCTCTCTCTTTTTACAGCTTTAAATATATTTCTCTTTTTCTTTTGTAGTTTTAACTATACATGGTGATTTTTAGAAGTCGATTTTTTCCTTTGTTCTTAATTGGATGAAAAATACGCAATGTTGAATAGGAAAGGCGCCCGATATCTTTCTTATTGTCTGACGAAGCAACAAAGATTTCAGGTCTCCCTTACACTCCTGTATGCGGAGTCCATAAGCGCCTGATCCAATCAGGGTTCAGCCACGTGTTTGTTGTCTATTATGAACCAATAAAAATAGTATGGCGGTAACATCTATCTTTCTATCTATCTCATTATCCAATCAGAGTTATGAATCCTTCAATCAGCGCTATCAGTGAATGGAAATATTTACTTCTACTGAAACTATGGTGAGCTTAAACAGGTCAAACAGTGTCAAAAGTCCAGTTCTAATAACTTTGAAAGACTCCAGAGAGTCTAGATATTTGAGAAGATCTTGTAGAATACGATTCCAGCTTTTCAAATACGAAATTCGTTCTCCATGTGATGTAAAAAAAATCAAATAGTCCAAATATCGGGTTCGAAGTTTGGAAAATGATTGAGAGCCTCCTGAAGCAGAGAAAGATTAACAATTCTGGAAATAATTATTTTCTTTATCAAATGTCATGGAATCACGAGTTAATAAATATTAAAATTATCTTTATGTTTTACCTTGTTTATCTTTGGTGAACTCTTTAAAAGTCGACTTTTAAAAATCACCCTGTATATCTCTCCCTCTCTCTTCAAATCTATTTTTTTTTTCTCTTTTTGTAGTTATAACACTATTTCTCTCTCATTTTGTAGTTTTATCTCTATTTTTCTCTCTCCTATAGTTTTAACTCTATTTCTCTCTACATTATTGAAGCTTTAACTATATTTCCTTATCTCTTTATGTAGCTTTAACTCTATTTCTCTTTCTTTTTTTGTATTTTTAACTCTATTTCTTCCTCTCTATTTGTAATTTTAACTCTACATAATTCTCTTTTTCTTTTTGTAACTTTAAATCTATCTATTTCTCTCTCTCTCTTTGTAGTTTTAAATCTATTTCTCTCTCTCTATTTGTAGTTTTAAATCTAATTCTCTCTCTCTCTTGATGTAGTTTTAAATCTATTTCTCTCTCTCTTGATGTAGCTTTAACTCTATTTCACTCTCTCTCTTTGTAGTTTTAACTCTATTTCTCTCTCCTTTTGTAGTTTTAAATCTAATTCTCTCTCTCTCTTGATGTAGTTTTAAATCTAATTCTCTCTCTCTCTTTGTAGTTTTAAATCTAATTCTCTCTCTCTTGATGTAGTTTTAACTCTATTTCTCTCTCTCTATTTGTAGTTTTAAATCTAATTCTCTCTCTCTCTTGATGTAGTTTTAAATCTATTTCTCTCTCTCTCTTTGTAGTTTTAAATCTAATTCTCTCTTTCTTGATGTAGTTTTAAATCTAATTCTCTCTCTCTCTTTGTAGTTTTAAATCTAATTCTCTCTCTCTCTTTGTAGTTTTAACTCTATTTCTCTCTCTCTATTTGTAGTTTTAAATCTATTTCTCTCTCTCTTGATGTAGTTTTAACTCTATTTCTCTCTCTCTCTATTTGTAAATTTAAATCTATTTCTCTCTCTCTCTTTATGTAGCCTTAACTCTGTTTCTATCTCTCTATTTGTAGTTTTAAATCTATTTCTCTCTCTCTTGATGCAGCCTTAACTCTGTTTCTATCTCTCTCTTTCGAGATCTAACTCTATTTCTCTTTCTCTTTTATTCTTCCTTATTAATTTTCATGCATTCAATGATTTTTGATTTTCTTCACTTAATACTTATAGTATATATAACATATATCTAAAATACATTTAATTATACATCCACAATATACATATATGTATAATGTATGTCTATCCTACATATTTATATACACTACAAAATTATAAACATCATCCATTAGCATTCTGTTCTCCCATTCAGTACACCCCTCCCCTCCCCTCCTCCATTTACCCCCTTCCCTATACAGCCTCAACTCTTGATAAATATCTTTAAAAAAATATATATTCAGAAATATTCTAGAAATATATAATAAAATGGACTGCAAGACTGTCCTATACATCTCCCCACCCCTCTCCTGAGATAAACGGGACATATTAACAACCCTCCCCAACCCTTCCCTCCTGAAAAGGGATTTAATATAAATCTTATAAACATGGCAAGTTTGAAATGTGGATTCTTTCTCTCAGGTTCATGCCCCCCCCCCCCTTTTAACTGCGATTATCTGAGACAAAAAAGAAGAAAATAAAAAATTTGAAAAGAAGGAAACGAGAAATGAAAGAAAGAAAGAAAAAACTTTAAAAAGGGAGAAAATTGGTATGAAATCTAATTTTTGTTACCAATAGTATGTGTGTAAAGGATTATTTTTTCTTCAAATTAAAAAAATTTAATTTTTATTTTTTTTAAATAAATTAATTGGTAATTTTAAATCTTATGAAATGATAGGATTTAGATATTTTTTTTATTTTGAGAAGCTTATTCTTTCCCTTTCTTTTATTAAATTAATGATTCAAATTTCTAATGAACCATCGTACAGCAATAAGAAACATTTCAAGCTTCCAGGGCATTTACCTTCGAATTTAAGTTTTAGGAAAACTGAAGTTTTTCATACTTTTCAGGCATTTACATCCTTTACTTTCCCATGTATTAAAAATAAGTATTGACTATTTGTGATTCAAAAAAAGTTTAGTAATACATTTTTTATAGTTTACCTCAAATCTCTTCTTTATACCTCTAGTTTTTGTTTTTGTTTTGATACAAATAGCTTTTCAATAGCACTAAAGGGAAAAAAGACAAAATGCAAAATAGGGAAATTATCTATCCTAATAAAGTAAAATGTGTAATAAGTTTAAAACTTAGTTTTTTAGTCTTTTTAGTCATTAATTTTGACCCTATTTGAGTGTTTCAGGTAAATTTTTTTGTTTGCCTTCGACACGCCCCTTAACTACATATACGTGAATTTTCTAACATTTGTGCCCCCTAGCTACTGGCCTAGTTTCTCTGATCAGAATCCAAAATAAGTTTAATTCAAACAAAAATATCTTCCTTAGATAATTACAACGCTGAAATTAAAAGCAAGGATATCTCCATCTTTTTTGCCCAGTCAGAGGATCAGAGGTACAAAGAATATCGCTGTAAAATGGATTTGTAACTTTAGTTGGAAATATAGCATCGATAGTCCTTGATTTATCCGGTTTTTTATTAGCAAAAAAATAATATAATATACAAATATTAACCTTGATTCTGCAGGGTTACCACCGAAGGATAAGAATTTAATGACGACCCTAATTGCTTTGATTTCAATATCTGAGGGATTCTGCCTAAAATATTGTGTTTAATAGTTTTGGGAAAATGTACAGTAAGTTTACAGTCACATACAACAAACTTTAAGTATCCGTTAAAAAATACATAATAAATTCCGTACAGTCGTCTATAAAGTCTTGCAAAGAAAATAACCCTGTATCTGAAAAAAAACTATTGTTATGATGTAATTATTGAATATTGACCATTGCAATATAATTTATTGGTCTAGGAAACAGAATTGATTTAAATCATTTTTAATAAGTCACAGAAAAGTTCACATTTTTGCAGCAGAGCAAATTGTTTACTTATATTTTAAAATAGTATTTCAGATTCTATTAGATTACTGCACAATCACATTTCTCAACCCTAAATAAGCTATGGGAAATACCGTACAATACCCCCCCCCCTTCCAGCTCCCATTCCAAAAGAAGTGAACATGATCCAGAGGGGGTTTTTCAATCTCCTATTTTTCGCCATGTCAAGCTGAAGAAGAGAAGTGATTCCATTTAGTCGAGGCATGGGGGGGGGCTATGGGGGCTCAGCTCCCGTTGGATCAGTGAAATCTATAGTTTTCAGGGGGGGTTTTGGACCCCAATGGATGGTAAGCCCCCCCCCCCCCGGACAAATTTCTGCATAGGCCCCTGAATTTAGTCTACGCGTAGTTCAACTACTATTAACAAATCTTAGTCCCAGGAGCTAATTCACTTTAGAAAATTGGTAAGATGGATGGTGTTGACAAAAATTGCAGGGTTTCACTAAATCCCCTTTTCCCGGCCAGGCTCCCTAAAGTTTATATGAAAATAAAACATATAAAATATATATGTTTTTCATGTGCAGGAATTTAATTTCCGTACCCCCCCCCCCCTCCCATCCGCGGTGCGCAGTACTGGATTGCAATTTAAGATAGTTGTTTTTGTATTTACATTGTTTTAATACTAAAGGTAAAGCTACTCTAAAATCAGTATCATTCTTGACATGTTCATCTGGTTCATCTAAGCTGCATGTTGTCAATTGTGGAATATACACGTCTTTAAATATATTTTTCCATCAATTAGTAGTTTTCTAAGCCCTCCCTTGCATTCTCTTTCAGAGTTCAGAAAATAAACAGATTTATTTACTCATTTATATTTCATCATACTTGCCGATTGAAATGCAGATGTTTGGCAAGAAATGCGGAAAACATTTTTTAAAACGTTTGGAAGGTTCTTGAGTTTTCTGGAGTATGTGCGGGCCTGCCCTGCTGAAAGAGAGGGTCCGCGCCGAACGTTTCTGACTTGCTAGTTGCTGGAAAACCTCCAGCAAGGGCGGACCAATTACTCTCCCTGAAAGAAATCATCATTCTACGTGTAATCTACTCACAGACAAATCATTATCACAGAAGCGTGGAAGAAGCCTCTCTTGTTACTTGAACCTTGAACTGGAATGGACAAATTGTAATATCAAACTTAAGTGTTTATTTTTGATTTATTCCGCCGGTTGACGGAGCTAAATGCAAATAAACAAGAATGGCTACAGAAATACTAAATCCGGTAGCTTCAGAACCAAACACAAGAATATCTTTAGAAAGCGGAGAAAACAAGAGAAACAAAGTCCGCCCGGCTGAAACGAAAGGGAAAGGCTTGTATCGGAAAAGAAAGCTTGAAAAAATTCCCGCGGAAATATCGGACACGGAGGATGAGGATGGAGCGGCGGACAGATCCTTGAAACGGCGGAAGAAGGCTCGGCGGGCCCGCCGACGGCCCTACAAGGGCTATTACGAGATGACGGACAAAGAGCGGTCTAGTATGGAGGATAGAGAGAGGTTGCGTGCTGATAAAATCCGTGAAAGGATGAGAGCTAAAGGGCATATGCTGGCTCCATATAATACTACGCAATTCATTATATCCGACCAACAAGATGACAAAATGAAAGAATTCGAACTTCAACTCGACTCGAAAGATCTATTTATGAACAGTCCAACAAAGGTTCGAAAACGTGGACGGGATTCTAGTTTCAGCCTGGACTCAGATGAAGGATACTTCTACTCGTCGCCGGAGGACGAGGAAGAGTTTATGTGCAAAGAGTTCAGCAAGGACTATGAGAACGTGCACATGGAGAAACTGGAGAAGTTGGACAAGATTACCCTGATCCATGAGTACATCAACATGGAGAAAAAGGTGGACATGCTGGAGAAGACCCTGGAGGAGATCAACACAAGGGAGGAGATGAAAGCTCTGACAGGAGAGGTGGATTATGAATTCCATCGCGGAGAAATACCCATGGAGCCAGAAACTGCACTCAAGATTAAAATCTTCCAACGAGAAATTACAAGACTTAACAAGGAGAACTTTAACCTTAAAAAAGAGACTTCAATGATGAAAAGAAAATTTATGAAATTTCATCATTCTCCGTCCTCCAGCTCGGCCTCAGAGGACGAGAGTGTTCAGGAGTTGCTGGAGGACAAGCCTAGGACGGAGTACGTGGACGTAAAAACCGAGGATACAGGTTATGAGAGCACCCAGAGTAAAGAGCAGACCCCGGAGCCGGATTGGAGCAAAGAGACAAAGGAGAAACCCACGACGTAACGATGATCCCATACCTATCCCCCTTTAATGTCTGTGATCCTGTAAATTATGAAAATATACCTAAATAAATATATATGATCAAATAACTAATATTTTCTTTAATCGTGATATTACACCCATTATATATGAATATAGAATAATATATAAGAGTTACCATAGAGAGTTCCAACAAACATTCGAGTAAAGAGATTTCCTCTAATTATTTAATGAAAACCTGGACAAAAAAAAATAAAATAACCCATGATAATGGGATGTTCAAATATGGTCCGTTTCTTTTTAAACCTTTTAAATTGACAAAAGGAATCGTACACTACAGATCAACTATTTTGTTGTAATTATTATTGAATTTAATTTTAAAATAAATGGGCACATTTTTTGACTCTCGTCAATTTTGATAGTACAAAAATGGTAGACCACATTTTGTAAATCCCGCTACTAGTAGTCTAACTTAAAATGCTCACACAATACCGCACTAAACAAAGACGTCACCTAATTCCCATGTTTATTGAGACACTGTGTAGAAAGAAAATTTTTAAGAGAAATTTTATTGAAATGAATTATCAAAATCTGAAAACATTTAATGCCTTACCCTTATGGCCAATTTCTTAGACGTTTTACCATAGGTAGAACCATAGTCACACTATGGTTACGCTTTACCAGAGCAGTGTAGAAAGATAGATATGACCTATGACCTATAGTTGTACCTATGGTAACATAAATAAGAAATCGGCTTTTATTCACACATATCGTTTAAAATCCAGAATCCTTATCTTTTATTTACTTTTCGTCATTTCTCAAGCTATATAGCATAGAAGTGTCAATTAAAAATGCACTTGGTTTACAGGGATATATATATTAAGCATAAAACTGGAATAAAATCGCATATTGGGCCAAAAGAAAATCGATGAAAGGATAGTGTAATTAAATTTAAGGTCGAGGCGTTTACATAGTTTCAACACGATTCACAACACTGTAACCCTCTAAAGCTTTGTCTGGTGATAAATATAGATATAGCCGAACGTCTCACCCAAGTTTTACAAGAATTTTTAAATAAGTATTTCAATCTGGGAAAACGACGATATCTTCAAAATTATTAATCAAATAAAGTTTCAAGGGTACCATTGTGAATAGAACTTTTTAAATGGAGGGTTACTCTAAATTACGAGGACAGCCTCAGCTTTAAGGGATTCAGGTTTCATGATGATGGTGTTTATGCTTAGGGGGAAAATCCCTTTGTGCCTCAAAAGGGTCGCCTGCCCCCCCCCCTTCTACACTTGATGGTTCTGATAGTGATATGTTCTGTGAATGCAGATGTCCGTGGGGGGGGGGGGGGGGGGTGTCATCTAAATATTTTATACGAATATATTAAAAACTATATAAAAATTTGAACCCCCCTCCCTTTTGTTGCTTGTACTGTAAAATTACGAGAAAATTTTTTATATTTAAAAGAATTTGAAACCCTGAACAGAAATGATTAAAATGTATGTATTTACAAATAATTATTATTGTTAATTTAAAAACATATTCCAAGGTCTAGGTCGACAAAAAATAATTAAAAGTATTTTATAAATACTTAATTGTGAACTAAAACATCTTTACTTCTGTACAGGGTTTATCAATAAATTTCGATTTAAAAAAAAAATTGTTCTTAATAAAGAAATATTAATATAAAAATATTAAAGGGCTGGGCGACAGGGGAACGATCGTTTTTCAGTGAACGATCGGGATTTTGCGTTAACGACCACTTCAATAGAAAAATTTAACGAACCCAGTTAGAACGACTGTTAAAATTTTTTTGGAACGATCATAAATTATCGAACGATGAAACGAAGTTTTTTGAATGTATAAAGAACTATATTTTCATGTTTACGATTATGACAAGGTAACGTGCTAAAAGTTGTTATATTATCAAATTAAAAATTCGTATTATTTTATTTACTAGGACAAGAGATGGATGTGTTCTTTATAATAAAAAGAATACAAAAGTTTTTGATTTTATTCATTCTTTCTTAAAATCATAAAAAAATGTGCATGTCCAATTTGCAATAATACCCAGAGAAATCTGTAAGATTGACTTGCAGATTTCTCTTTACAGAAACTATAAATGAAGTGTTTAGAATGAATTAAACACTATATAAATACCGTAGTGAATCGGACACACTTCTCTTTTAACGATGGATCACTGGAAGTTAAGGTTTCCGGTGGGAATTCCGTTGCGTGGAATTTCGCGCTGTGGTTGCTTCCGTTTGCGCCATTTCATTGCGCGCATTTGCGCTATAATTGCCAACAAGGAAGCAATTAACTTTTCGCGGAATTGCGCGATATTGCGTGCAACGGAATTTCTTTTCCATCTAAAAAACACTAATTTTAACTGTGACTTACAAATGTATGCAGCAGATACAAGAATGGAAAGATCTCTGTAGATTTTAAAATAATTGAGGCCCGAGTTTCACTTGTTTCAACAGTTTTTAAAGTTTCTTTTAGTTAAGTTACTAATTAACAATTTATTATGATACATTTTTTATTTGTTCACATTGGATTAACATTAAAATAGAACATTTTTTGGTTAAAATTCTAAGGTTTGTGTAATCAAAATTAGATATTTTGCAACATTGAGTACCAGAAAACTATGGTACAGAAAGACAACATTACAATGTATTTGATGTCGTTACAAAGAAAAAAATTAATTAGTAACTTATGAAATCACTTCTTTAGTTACATGGGGGTCTGCTTGAGCTTAAAATGTCGTTTTCCAATGCCAGAGTTTTCTGGTTATCATGCTGAAAATCAATATTATAAAACAAAAGATTAGGTTTTAATTCAAATTTCTTAGCATTTGAGAGTGAGACTGCCATAAGGTTTAAATTGAATAAATTGAATATTATCAAAAAATTTAAACACAAACGCAATTATTACGGAATTGCACTCAATTATTACGGAATTGCACGCAATTATTACGGAATTGCACTCAATTACTACGGAATTGCGCGCAATTATTACGGAATTGCGCGCAATTATTACGGAATTGCACTCAATTATTACGGAATTGCACGCAATTATTACGGAATTTCACGCAATTATTACGAAATTGCACAAAATTATTACGGAATTGCACTCAATTATTACGGAATTGCGCGCAATTATTAAGGAATTTCACGCAATTATTACGGAATTGCACTCAATTATTACGAAATTGCGCACAAGTAAAATCCACTTGCGCTGGAAACCCTACTGCAGAAATGACAACAGTTCTCAGCAGCTTCTTCAACTTATTATCATTTTAAAGGCAACAGATTAAATCTAACCTTGTTAAAAATATGCAACATATCCATACAAACTAGGGTTTTCATGCTCAGTACTTTTTATTAAAATTTTAGGAAATTGAGTTTTTGCCACGAACTCTTATTTTCTAATCCCTATATCTTTGCAACCCGATGCTGTAGACCTTTAATATTTCAAACTTTAAATTCTGTTAGATCAAATAATCATAGTTTGAAATATCAAAGGTTTACATCATCAGATAGGAAAGATATAGGGATTAGACTATTAGAGTTTGTGGCAAAAATTGATTTGAATAAAAATTGAAAATATAAGTTTATGTTATCAAAAAACTATCCTATGAGAAAATGCACAAGAATTGCTATTTAATACATTTGATAAGTTTTTGCGGAGTGATGCGCAAAATTTCTATTATTCGACTGAAAATATTTTTTTGTCCTCAATATTGGGTTTTGTTAAATCAAAATTTGTTTAGATAACTTTCAGATCAAATTTTGCGCTATTTTTGCGCATTTGCGAATAGAAACAAATATTTAATTCCTTTTCTCGTCTGAATCGTAACATGTGAGTGCATTTATTGTTTACAATGCATTTGATGCATAACTGACTGACTATAGCATATTTCAAGACGTTTAAAATGTAACGTACACTTTCTTTTTTATTTAAGCAAAAGCACGTAAATTTTTATCATCATTTTGCAGCGATTTGGTTGTTAATATTTGTATATCTGGATAGCTAAATACCCAGGGGCGTAGTGGAGGTTTAGCCAAGGGGGGTGCACTTTTTTGTGCACCCCCTTATAAAACCGGAATTAGGAAATAAAAAAAACAGTTTAAAATCTATATTAATCTACCCTGACCATAATTTCAGTACCATTATAAAATCTAGTAGTAAAAGAGCAAAAAACTTTGATTTGAGGTAAAAAAAAACATTTTTTAAATGTTGAAGGGTTGGCTCAGTGCTCAATAACATACCAAATTATTTTAATATTGTAAACAAGATTAAGGTACACGAAAGAATTTGAGAAATATCATAAAATGGACAAATTGTGACATTGTCCATTGATAAGAAAAGTAAAAAATCTGAATATATATTTAAGTTTAATAAATTAGAGCCATGCCTCTGGCTCTAGGGGGGGCCTAGAGGGTGCATATATAACCCCCTGTATATAGCCATGGATAGCTGGATAGTTGGAAAGTTTTTTCCATCTCGTAATCTGAGTTCGTTTCCTTTAAGTCCATTTGACAGCCCAAATTTTTATTTTGAATAATCTTTTTTGTTTGTTTATCTTCTTGTGATTTTTTACATTTTTTATTTTTTTATCGATTTTGATGGTTATTATATCGTTAGAAGTGACGAGGGTCAACCCAGACCGAAATATATTTTCAATAAATGTGGAACTAACATCTACTTATTTGAACTATAAATTCAAATCATTTGGCTTCTTGGATATAAGCTGCACAAGTATTAGATGCTTTAAAGGTTGCACATATAGTCCAATTATCTTGCATGTACTATACTTTATCTCTCATTCAAACGAAACTAGCAGAAAAAGCATTGTTTCTAAAAACTCAACATTTTATTATACTGTTTTGTTAGCGATAAATAATAATTAGTATTTAAACTAGAGATAGTAAAAACATTTTGAAAATGAAAAACTCAACTTTAATTCTGAGCTGTGAGATGAAAAAAAGGACAAAGATCCAGAAAATAATTATGACTTGTAAAAGTTTCTGTTTTGAAAAAAAAGGAGGAGTACAAGTGTAATCTATATGGATACTCTTGGGAATAACATAAGCTAAATAAATTACAAGTTTTTTGTTTTAATTTCATTTTTAAATTTCCTACGGGCAAAGCCTGGCACTTCAGCTAGTTTGCATTACAAAACGGCGCGTCGGCGGTGCAATGAATAAAGTAAATTAAATCCAAATTAAAAAAAAAAAAAAATGGTCTTTTATTACCCCCAAACTCAAGCCTCGTGGCTTGGCATTTAGAAATAATTGTTTTACTTCGCTATCCCTGATAGCGCCCATCTGATTAGAATGAAAGAGCATTCTAAATAGATTTTTCATTCGAACTTCTGTCATGGTGGCTCTGATCCACGTATACAATCTCTTAGTGAACTGAATCAACAGCAAACTAAGTTTTTTATGTTCTTCACTCTCGAGTTTACGATTTAAAAAGTGTGAAAGCTCTGAGTTCTAGGGGGGGGGCTACGCCGGGGCTTTAAATATCTAGGAGGGCACTGCCCCCCCCCCCAATTGCATACGCCATTCAGCTGAAATCTGAAATTGATATTTTTTTTATTTTGACAAATTTTAAAATTGGAGGAGAAATAATATTAATAATTTTACTTACGTTAAAAGAAATTATGGTTAAAGTTTTATTTAAAAACAATGATACTGAGCGCGTCCTAAAGGGACTGTAATGGTAATTTTAAGTGGCCTCCATGCAAAGATGGCAATCCTTGATTCACAACAGTACACTTTAAAGATTTGTCTCATTAAGTATGAAATTGATATTAATGTTATAAATAATTTTTAAAACGTATTATTTCTAATTTTGATTTTTCTACAAAAGTGACCTGCGCGTTTCCATCGCAGGAAAACAAGTAATTATCAGAATTAAACCAAAAAAGACGTTTAAATGAGGGGTATATACGTTTTCCAACGATACCCTTTAATCCTTTTTCTGATCTAGAATGAATGTGATATTCTTGTTTTTGTTACTAAAAACTTGATTAAATAAAGGAGATTGTTAATTGTCTCTAGATCATGAAGACGAGTAAAAATGGAGTCATGAAAAACAATTTTAATTCTTTATTTATAAACTTTTCAAGTAGGAAATGCCCTACTCCAATAAATCCGTTTAGACCCGTATCAATCCAGGTGCAACTCAATCCCTCTGGTTGTTCTACGAGGCATAAGAGCTTATCAGTTCAATAGCACTTTAATATCAATGTCAATCTGGACATGATTCATCTGTACCAATGCTTCCCTAATGTCAATCCGGACACAATTTATCTGAACCATAAACTATTAATGTCAATCCGGACACAATTTATCTGAACCATAAACTATTAATGTCAATCCGGACACAATTTATCTAAACCATAAACTATCAATGTCAATCCGGACACAATTTATCTGAACCATAAACTATTAATGTCAATCTGGACACAATTTATCTGAACCATAAACTATCAATGTCAATCCGGACACAATTTATCTGTACCAATGCTTCCCTATGTCAATCCGGACACAATTTATCTGAACCATAAACTATCAATGTCAATCCGGACACAGTTTATCTAAACCTTTACTATATAATGTCAATCCGGACACAGTTTATCTAAATGCCCAATCTATGTCTATCCTTCAAAAAGTGATTTTGGGGCACCTCTCGTTAGCTTAATAAGGAAAAATTATTCTCTTACCGTAATCAAAGCAGAGTCTATTCCAACTAACTATATTTGGGGTTTTTATGTTACAAGCTAGAGTGAATCAACGGAATTATAAGTTTTACGTCGCTTTATACAACATAATTAGGATAATCATGTTACGTAGTTATTTACAGCGCAGTTAAGATAAATCATGATATGGGTTTTACATAGCCATTTACAAATGTAAATAATTAATAATGTACAACGTAGTTCAGGTTTATAGATATAGTGTTACACGATATTCATTACATTTAAACATAAAAACTGGGTTTGTGCTTTGAAACTTTGTACTAACATCGAGAAAATAAATTCTTGACGATGAGGTCAAACTGCATTGTCAGAAACAAAAATAAAAACAATTTCCTTTTTACAGGTTTCTTTCTTGGTTATAGATTGAAAAGAAACTGTTGTGAATCATCGATGATACTCAAGAGGTTTAAAAACACCAAGGAAATAACAAATATATATTTCCCTGTTGTCCGGACCTTTTATGACAACAAAATAGTTTATAACTTTCATTCAGACTTAACCTCAATATGAATGGAAAAGTAAAATGCATAAACTCTTACATCGATGAAAACTAAATGCACAGCACATCTATATATATAAATGGTGCGTCTGTCTGTTTGCTAGTTTGTTTGTATCCAATAAACGCCAAAACGGCTGATCCTAGCCTATTTGGTCCATACTTGATACAAGAAATTGTTATGGAAATCAAATGGAAAAAATTTGCCGGAATAGAATCTTGTCATTTAATATTTTGAAAAATGCTGCAGTTTAACCCAGAACTTTGGAGAAATCCAAAGAATTTATAAAATGTCGTCTTGACATTTTTGCAATTATGCTATTGCTATTATACCCAAATCTCAAGAAGCTAAACATCTACAGTATTCCATTATCAGTAAGAGCACAAAGAAAAAAATCATCACCAAACATATCCCAACCAAACATATCACATCAAAACCTATCAAATCAAAACATATCTCCTACAAAACATAGCAAACGACAAAACGTATCAAACGAAAAAGTTTCTCAAACGAAAAAACATATCAAACAACATACTATAAACGACAAAACATATCAAGAAATAAAACATATCCATAACGAAACATTCCAAACACAAAACGTTTCAAAGTACAAAACATATCAGACGAAAAAATATATAGAGCATTTAATTTCTCAAATAATCACAGAAAAAATACCGTAAAAATCAAAATCCAAAACTTATCCAATACCAAAAGAAATTAGAATACAAAAAAGTTTGTTTCCCTTTGAGAAGAAACATAAGTTGCTTTCGTACTTTCACTTTCACAGTCTTGATGGAACTGATTTTTATATGAATTCCTGGATTTTGTTCTTCACAAGTTAAAAAATTGTCAGAAAAGTTAGTCTCCAAATACAACATGGTGAAATGTTAATTTTTATTTGTGAAACTTAATTACAATTTATTTAGTTTGGTTTTGATATGTTTTGTATTTTGATATTTTGGGTTTTGATAAGTTTTGTGTTTTTATATGTTCGTTGGGTTTATAAAACAATCTTTTATAAATTTTTTTGGTGTCTCCGAAGTTATGGAAACAGAGATAACTATTGTGAACTGGACATTTTCATCAAGTAAAGAATTATTTGAAAATACATGGACAGCAAAAACTGCCCAATCACGGTCTTATTTCTTCTAAATCTCATTAAAAATAAACATTTATTTAACAAAAATGAGTTTATTTATATACTTACTAAAAATAAATTTTACTCTATTTTTTGTAAAATGTTATAAAACAAATAACAATATGGTTGAAATAAAGTTACTTGTATTTTATGTTATTTAAAACGTACAAAATTTAAAAATCAATTCTTCGGGGTCTTGAGTTTTTACCATTAAATGAATTGAAATGTTCAAATTGAAAGTTACAGCTTTTAGTTTTGATAAGTACACTATTTTTATTCTATTATTAAAATTATCTTGCTTTTCTTGGAGTCCATGGAAATATCAATAAAGATTTATGAAAAAATTCATTATTCTTCCGCTTAAAGTTTTTCAATGACAAAAAGACAGTTTTAACTTTAGAAAATTAAGTTCTTTTTTAAACCTTGCTAACCCGTCCTGTATAGTGTACAGTGTTTATAGTTTGAAAACTAGTCTGAAAACCTCAAGCTGTCATCATTGAAAAGTGAATTTACATAAAACTTCCATAAAATCTTTTTTGTGTGGATTACTGTAAAATATTTAAATTAGCTAATCTTAGAAACATGTACATGGTGTTGAATGAATGTACATGCATTGAAATGGAGTTTTTTGATTTGTAAAATGTTGTACTTTATGTGGAGTATATTGGATTTGTAAAATAGTTTACAATTAAAAAAGTATAACGGATAATGAAAATACAATCAAGTTATAAAAGTTTGGGAATAGAAAATTGTATACGAACTTTGTAATATTGGAACCGGTCAAAAAAAGGTTATAGTATGCATGTACATAAAATGCGTACAACATTCCAGTCACCTCACCTCTTGTATAATATCATTAGTTACAATAGAAAGGTACATTGTACGTTTACAAGGTTAACCACAAAGGATGAGAATTGATACGAATTTTGTTCTGTCTTTTTTCTTATAAAAATAACCATTATTTTATATTTTTTTCCTCCTGTATTTAAAAAATATATTTAGTACAGAGATGTCCAAATTAATTCTTCCGATTGTTATAAATTAATTATATATATATAGAGTAAGTCTCATTCTTTTTTGGGTAACTCTGTATAGAAAATCTAAAATGTCTGCTACTGATATATTTCTACAAAACATCTGATTCCTCTGTCAGCTTGTTATCCTTATACTCATCAATATACAGTGCTTCTTTATCCTGGAAATAGAAATATAAAGATTCCAAAGTAAATTCACGTGAGGTTAAAATCTTTAATGTTTTCAAAAATAGCTCCTCTTATCATGAAGATCTATTGAATAGAACAGAAAAATAAGAGAAACTCAATCTCTCTAAATCAATCGACATTTTACTTTTGTTGCTAAATTCTATAGACTTTCCCAAATGGAATTGAGTCTTTGCCATCAACTCCAATCCCTTTAGCTTTGCAACCTGATAGTGTAAACTTTTGATATTCAAAACTTAGATTACTATGTTTAAGAGAAGTCTAAGTTTTAAATATCTAAGGACATTTGGTTGCAAAGATATAGGGATTAGAAAATCAGAGTTTGTGGCAAAAACAGAGATTCAATTTCTTCGTTTAATAATAAAAATAAGATTAAAAGAAACTTCGGATAAATTCTCAATCATTATTCAGCAAGTTTTGTTTTATATTTTATTTTGACATGTTCCATCACTTGATAGAAATGTTTTTGTTTTTATGTAAAAAAAAGAATTTTATTTGAATTTTTTCTTCTCTTCTTATTTCTAAATTGAAAGTTTAAACCCGGAAAATATGAATAGTTTGGGGTTGCGGTGGTTTTACATTGTTAAAGGCATCTTTTATAAAAAAAAACATTTTAAAAAACTTAAATAATTCTTTGTAAAAATGTGTGTTATCAGCGGTTGATTACAAAAAGTGTATGTGTAACTGTGTAATTGTGAAGGTTGAATGAGAAATATATTAATTAAAAAAGTGTATTTCCAATTAAAGGCAAAGAGTTTTACAACAACAAAAAATAGCAGTTTCAACAGTTCAAACAGTTTGTGTATAAATTTGTATAAATTTATTTAAATAAAGCATTTTTTTCTTATTCTAAACTATATTAAGAATCTCATATTAACCAGTAACCATTCATTATTTCAACCCTATGAAGAATATAACATTGGACACTTTTCCCTCTAATTCAATTCAAAAATACCAAAGACAACTGATGATTTGATTCAATAGCGGTAGCTTAAGAAATTTATTATTGTTTTTCCTTTTTGGGCTTTTTGAGCTTTTTGAACTTTGAAGGGCGGAAAAAAATAATTTGATTCTCTCTCAATGAAATCATTTAACGAGTTCATGTATATTTAACTTTGCTGTGCTCCAAATTAATTGAGTCTTCTATTCCTTATATCTTTGCAACCCAATGTCGTAGACCTTAGAAATACAAAGTTTGAATTCCGTTTGATGAAATAATTTAAGTTTGAAATATCAAAGGGATATACCATTAGGTTGTAAAGATATTGGGATTCGATGATTTGGGTTTTTCGGCGAACAAAGACTCATGACTTTTTAAATTAACGCGAAAATAGTGATGGCCATCAATTTTGTGAACGAACCAAAATTTGTTGTTAAAAACTTAGCGAATAATGAACGACCGAATTAATTAGAAGTTCGTGCGAATAAATTTTAAAAATATCGTTTTCTAAAACGAAAAAAACGATTTACAATTGTTAACGATCGTTTACATTTTATGTATCAGTCAGACCGTTAACAAACGATCATCGTTCGTTTGACCAAATTTGAAATTAATAAACTAAAATTTTTTCGAACAAACTCAAATAACTATACTTTTTTTCTGAACAATTTTTTTTAACCAAACTTTTAAAATTTTGCCAAACGAATGTTTTTTTGAACGAACTGTTGAAAAAAAACAGTCTTTTTTTTTAACAAAAATGTTACTGAATTGGCAATTTTACTGAATGAATGATTTAATTGGATGATTGTTCAGTTAGAAATCGAACGAAATAAATAGAAATGACGAGGAATTTGAAAACGAACGACTGAAGAAAACGCACGAACGAATTGAAAAAACAAACGAGCCCATCTCTACTTGAAGAATCTATGAATAACAAATCCGACCTGTTTTCCAGTAATCAACTTCCAAGCTTGAGCTATATTAACCCTGTAGTCGGATACACAGGTTAGATATATTATAGGATTTCCTACAACAGGTAGGATAGCTGCCCAGAATATCAGAACATCATGCTCTACATACATATTATATTATATAGTTATAAAGGGATTTTTCATCGAATTCAAAAGAGAGTGGTGTACATCATATTGTACCGTGCACATAGCTTTGAAATTATTGGATATTTCAGAATAAATCAGTTGAAAAAATGTTACAAGGCTTAAGCAAAATATTTGCAAAGTCTATAGGCGTAATTTTAATTGAACTTTAATTTACAGAAAGCAATGTTGTTCGTTTTACAGTGGTACCCCACACAAAGCTTTATCTGATCTGGGAACTTTTGAGCGGTGGATATCAGCGTTAATGCTTGTTCTCCTCTTGTTTTTAATCTACAGATTAATGAACCGATTGGGATTAAGGATTAAAGTTTTCAGCTCTGATCAAGTCTGAATTAGATAGCCATGACAATAATTTTCAAAACTTTTTATTTTAAATTTTGATTTCTAGTACTACATTGACAATCGGGGCATTTCTGCTGTTGGAAAGCAATTTAAGAATTATTAGAATTAAACATTTTCTTCCAAATTATTGATCATGCAGATAAACGTTTCCCGAGTACCGAATATATATATGTAATATATTTGGGAGACTCTGTAGTGTACAAGACTTTGTTATGAAGCGTGGAAGAGAAATGGGGCCTAATGTATTCTTTAACGATATCCTATCAATAAAAGTTTTAAAAATGTCCTTGTAACAACGACGACATTTTAAACAGCTTCCTAGAAATTGAGAAGTACAGTGCTACCCACAAAGGATGAGACTTCAGAATTTGTACTGTCCTTATACTTATATTCGGGATCCTGTCACTGTAAGATTTTTTCTTTCTTTGCCAAATCAGTAAATAAATGCCATCAGAAGACTGCACTTAACAGAATACTTAATTTAACCTTGGAATCTTTATATTTGAAGAGTTTTAAGTCGGCTTTCTTATAGGATCATCCTTTGTAGGTAACCCTGTAGACCTAGCACGTTAAACTAAGATGGACGTCTGATATGTTTTTACATGCATGTTTTAGATTTCTAATGTGCAAACGGATAAATTTGTTTTTCTTATACTAAAAACCTATAGAAAGGTTACGAGGTCAGAAAGTCGTTAATATCTCTTACACTTCAACTTCTCATTGTGTCTTTTTTCCAGTATTTAGAATATCATCCATGTTTTTCATGCTTTGAAAAGTTTTGAACTCTCAAAATTGTCTCCATTTCTTCTTTAGCAAAAATCCGTAAGTCACATATTTAGAGAAAAGCCGCAATTGAATATAACCAACGTTTAAAAAAATCAGGGATATCTCATTCATTCTTGATCAGACAAATATTTTATGGAACCGTTGTGAATCGGACAATCCACTCAATCCACATGAAATCACGTGTACAGTCCTTTAAAGAAAAAAATTATCAATTATTATTTAAATATTTTACCCAATGTATTTGGTAGCCTATTCACTTGCTTGGAGCCATACGCAGAATACACTAGATCTTTAAACTGGATAATATCTAAACAGAATACACTAGATCTTTAAACTGGATAATATCTAAACAGAATACACTAGATCTTTTAACTGGATAATATCTAAACAGAATACACTAGATCTTTAAACTGGATAATATCTAAACAGAATACACTAGATCTTTAAACTGGATAATATCTAAACAGAATACACTAGATCTTTAAACTGGATAATATCTAAACCGAATACACTAGATCTTTTAACTGGATAATATCTAAACAGAATACACTAGATCTTTAAACTGGATAATATCTAAACAGAATACATTAGATCTTTAAACTGGATAATATCTAAAATTAAAACATTATTTATCTAGTTTTTATTAATTTCCATGGAGACCAATAAATTAGAATTATTCTGAAATTTGAAAATCTTTAAAAAGTTAGAACAACAAATTTTAAAGATTGGGATTTCACCCAAGAGCGAAAGTTATGTTTTCTAAAAAAAATCAGATTTTTCCCTTTTTACATTTTTTTATTAAAGAAAATTGCTACGATATGAAATTAAGACAATGCAAAGTATTGATTTGAAAACAAATTATTTTTCTAACTCACCACTTTTTATAAAAAATTTACTTACCGACTGGAGATTTAACGGCAATGAAGAAGGCACAGAGTGCAATACACATCTTGTAAAACCGGTTCAGTTTTCCATCCTGTACATAACAGTACATAGTAAACAAAAAATGTCTTATAGAACCGGTTCAGTTTTCCATCCTGTACAAATACAGTTTACAGTAAACAATACACAACTTATAGAACCGGTTCAGTTTTCCATCCTGTTCTTAACAGTAAATAGTAAACAATGCATATCTTGGAAACCCTGTTTATTTTTTATCCTTCATTTTCAACCCTAGTAATGTTAATTACACTTCTGAAATACATTAAAATGCGGAAAAGGCACGGTTTGGAACTATCCTCCCCTGGAGTGACATATCTTGGTTTGGAACTTTCCTCCCCTGGAGTGACATATCTTGGTTTGGAACTATCCTCCCATTGAATGACAGATTATGGTTTACAACTTTCCTCCCCTGGTATGAAAGATTATGGTTTGTAACTTTTTTCGGAACATGACTGAATAAGATATCCATGTTTTTCTTTTCGAAAATTAAATATTTCCAATCATGGTTATTCTTGGAAAGTGAAAAACTACGATATCTTCCAAATTATTGCTCAAAAAAAGTTTTAGAGGGTACCTTTGTGAATCGGACATGCCCTTCCATTAGCATCTAACCTTACCTTTGTCCACCTGGTGGTGCAGAGTAGGAGGGAGAAGAAGATCATGAGTAGGCCGGGGGCTATGTACGTGAACACGACGGAGCATATCATCAAGTTGAACCCAGGGTCGTTGATAATGTAGCTGTTGGGGTTCTCGAAGGGGTTCACATGCACATAGCAACCAGGGGAGTTAACTAGATACAGTTTATTAAATTAGAGAAATGTGTAATTATATAAGGACATAAAGTTGTTTGCTTACGGCTGGTATAGGGGAACAATCTGAAGAATATGATGGGTCACCGTTAAGGTTATAAAGTTTTCTACCTGTCTCCATGCTAACTGCAGCAGGGATATAATGGGATACCGGGGATATAAAGTTTTCTACCTATCTCCATGCTAGCTGCTGTAGGGATATAATGGGATACGGGGGATATAAAGTGTTCCACCTGTCTCCATGCTATATGCTGCAGGGATATAATGGGATACCGCGGATACAAAGTGTTCTACCTATCTCCATGCTAGCTGCAGCAGGGATATAAAGGGATACCGGGGATATAAAGTTTTCTACCTATCTCCATGCTAGCTGCTGTAGGGATATAATGGGATACAGGGGATATAAAGTGTTCCACCTATCTCCATGCCATATGCTCCAGGGATATGATGGGATACCGCGGATACAAAGTGTTCTACCTATCTCCATGCTATACGCTCCAGGGATATGATGGGATACCGCGGATACAAAGTGTTCTACCTATCTCCATGCTAGCTGCAGCAGGGATATAAAGGGATACCGGGGATATAAAGTTTTCCACATGTTTCTATGCGAGCTGCAGCAGGGATATAATAGGATACCGGGGATATGAAGTGTTCTACCTGTCTCCATGCTAGCTGCTGCAGGGATATAATGGGATACCGGGACATACATTTTTATACCTGTCTCCATGGTAGATGCTTCAGGGATATAATGGGATACGGGGGATATAAAGTGTTCTACCTGTCTCCATGGTAGATGCTTCAGGGATTTAATGGGATACGGGGGATATAAAGTGTTCTACCTGTCTCCATGCTAGCTGCTGCAGGTATACCGAAGCCCAGGGATAAAAGACAGATAACTGGGATGAACCATTGTAACCATTCACGTAATCTCGGCTCATCCTAGAGTACAGGGAGACACGTAAAAATATGGAATATAAAGACGAAACGTGTAAAATGTCGTTGTTTGTCTGGCTCAAACAAATTAAAAATCAAAAGTCTATGGTTCCCTTTAAACCAAGGTTCAAAGGGAACCGTTGTGAATCGGACATGCAACTCTATCTATGGAGGGACAAATAATTTAAAAATAACTTAATAACTTAATGTACTTATATACTAGCTTAATAACTTAATATAATTATATAATAACTTAATTACTTAATATACTTATATAATAACTTAATTACTTAATATACTTATATAATAACTTAATAACTTAACATACATAATAACATAATAACTTAATATACTTATATTTTAACTTTATAACTTAATATAATTATATTGTAACTTAATAACTTAATATAGTTATATGATAACTTAATAACTTAATATAATTATATAATAACTTAATTACTTAATATACTCATATAACAACTTAATAACTTAACATAATTATATAATAACTAAATAACTTAAAATACTTATGTAGTAACTTAATAACTTAATATAATTATATAATAGCTTAATAACTTAATATAATTATATAATAACTTAATAACTTAATATAACTATATAATAACTTAATAACTGAAAATAATTATGTAATATTTCAATAACTTAATATGCTTAAACTTAATATACTTATATAATAACTTAATAACGCATAGTCCGTTTAAATGAACCTACATCCTCATGATCCATCTCGAACTCGTCGAGGCCGGGGTATCCGAGGCTGGCGGCGTCCCAGAGGTCAGATCCAATCAAACTAGGAGCATACTCTTCCTCAACCATCTTCAAAGGGGAGGAACCACTCCGCATCTACAAACAAAAATGATGTTTTAATTTTTACTGTTAATACCTTTTACTTTAAAAAAAACCTGCAGTAAACTTAATTTTCACTTTTCGGTGGTCCTTCATGTAAAAATTGCAATGCCCGATTTACAACCGAACCCTTAAAAACTTGTTCTGAGCTGAAAACTTTAGAATCGGATAATTAATCTGGAGATTAAAAATGAGAGGAGAACAAGCAATATTTAATCTCGAGATTAAGAAAAAGAGTGGATTAAGCATTAATCCCGATATCCACCATTCTAAAGTTTTCAGCTCTGATCAAGTAAGAGTTAGATATCCATGACTTTGTTTCTTTAAATTAATTATTTTCATTTACCTTTTCTTCGCAAAAGTGACTTGCGCATTTCTTGTTTACAAGAAGCAATAAAGAAACTCACAGAAAAATCTCTATTCGAGTCAGAAAAACGACGTTATCTTCCACATACTTGATCATATTAAGAATTCAAGGGTACCCTTGTAAATCGGGCATTGTCATCCTTGTAAGGAGAGTCACATAAAATTACGCTCACAGTCTCTTTTAAATTAGTTGTCAATCTTGACAATCTACTTGGTTCCTTTAAACCAAATTATTATCTTAATTCCTTCTGTACTCTGTATACATATACTGCAATCATTATTGATTATTACATGTATGCAATTAATAGAGAATATGTAAACTAATGCCAAGGGAATAGGTTGTGTGTACACATTTGATATTATAAGCTTTATCTCAGTTTTCCTGGATAGGATTTAAACACTGAAGACCATGCTAGTTGCAATAATGATTGTCTTTTAATTTAATTTTCAGCCTTAACATCCACCCCTTCCCCGCTACCTCCATCCTCCCCCCTTTTCCTTCGAAATCATGGAACAAGAAAATTATTTACATTCAATACTCTATTACAGATACAGTTTAAAATCTATTAAAATCAAATCCAATTCACTGTAAAATTTAATTTAAAAGTAACAGGCTTAAAACTACCCATTAATTTTTGTCATTTATTATTATAAAGCTTCCTGGATCCGGATCCGGATCCAGATTGAAGAAACTGGAGTGCACGAAAATCGTCTTGATTGGATCCAAAATTACAGCTTTTACACTGTCCTTTGGGTCTATTGTCTGTTATTCAGATTCATGAGACCTGGACCAGAATTCGGATTAAAGAAACCGGAAACAGATGAATCCTTTTAATCCGGATCCTAAGTTACACTGCAGCACCCTGTGTTTTAAGTCTTTTACAGCTTCCTGGATCCGAATCCGCATCATACACCGGAAAAATGCTGATTAACTGAATCCGGATCCAGATTCTAACTACCTGGCGTTGAGGTGGAGCCAAATATCCATTCCCTGAGCCCCGGTTCCCAGGAACTGAAGACGACCTATCTCCCCGGCTCCTATCCACAGATCCGGCTCGATCTCCCCGACTGCCAGCTACGGATCCGGCTCGATGTTCCCGGCTGGCTATTGAACCATTTCTGACTCCCATATCATATCCTCGTTCGGAGCCTGCAGAAAACAAATTAAATGGAGTTTTCGCCAATTCGAGCCCCCCCCCCTGGATATTGAAATCTATCCTTTCGCTCCCTATATATGGAGGCGGGAAAAAGTCTAATGGGTAACCCAACACCTATATTTAGTAAAGTTTGATGCACCTGCAATAGAGTTTTCTCTGGAACTCTTTGAAAACCCTTTCCTGAATCCGGCCGGATCCATTCCTTGCTGACTTCCGGCTGGGGAATGCCCTTGCATCTTTGAAGAAAAAAGATTTTATCAAAATATTGAATTGATTCTCAAACTCTTATTTTCCAATCCCATTATCCTTAAAACCTGATGTCCTTTGAAATTTCAAATTGTGAATTCTGCTAGATTAAATAGTTAAAATCTAAGTTTATAACATCAGGTTTGCGTGTTTTAAGAATTAGAAAATCTGAATTTAATGAGAGTGATTAGGGATAAAAAATATTAAACTGAACTAGATTATTGCTATAATAAAGTGTCTCAATGTTGCCCCTTTAAACCATTTTTGGGCAAAAATTATAGAGATGTTCATTTTTCAATAGATTTTTGTCGAGGTCCTTTTTAAAGAACATTTTGCAAAAGAGACAAAAAAGAAAATTGACAGAATTGATATGTTTGCAAGATAGAAAAACGTTAATATATTCTGCATTGTTACTAAGAGTCGATAATGTCACTTCTTAATTGATTTTTTTTCCATAAAATTATGCAGACATTCTTTTTAAACATTTTAATACGAATACTTTTTTAAAGTTGTATTATCATTTCTCACCCTTTGGTTTGGTACAGATAATCTGTTGGAGTTGAATTGTTGTTGTTGTTGTCCGGAGTAACTCTGAGATCTTTGCTGTTGTGAGTTGTGTGTACGGTGGGTATATCCACTCCTGTTTGACATTCTGCTGGATACACGGAGAGAGGGTTCTCTATAAAAAAAAGTAAAAACGTTCTTCAAAATTTCCTGGGCAACGCCGGGCACTCCAGCTAGTTACGTATAAAGTCCCTTTAAAAAACGTAATTTATGTCCTGAATCTAGGGGTGTAATATACCTGGAAGGTGGAAGGACAGGGGGCACCTTCCTTGTGTACAGGATGACGCAAAGCGTAATAAGTAGAAGGGGGTACAGGGCGTTCAAGTAAAAGTCGAAGAATATTGCTGTTGCACACCAAGCGTCTCCTCCGCTCCAGGTAGATAAACCAACTATAAACCAATCTAAAAAATAACAGGGAAAAATGGTTTTGTCAAGGAAAGATTCCATATTCTACAATTTTATTATAACAATTGTGCTCGCATTCTCTTATTTTCAAATATTTGATATCTATTTTGAAATATTTATCATATATTTTCAAACCTTCAAAATCCATTTTTTTTAATATTCAATATCTATTTTCAAATATCTAATATCTGTTTACAAATATTCAATATCCATTCTCAAATATTTAATATTAATTTTCAACCATTCAATATCTATTTTTAAATACTCAATATCTATTTTCAAATATATAATATTTATTTTCAAATATTCAGTTCAATATCTAATTTCAAATATTTGAAATCCATTTTCAAATATTTAATATATATTTTCAAATGCCCAAGGTCTATTTTCAAATATTCAATATCTATTTACAAATATTTAATATCTATTTTCAAATATTCAATATCTATTTTAAAATATTAAATATCTATCTACCTATAGCTGCTGGAATGACTATAAGACACACTATTAAGTCTCGTATAGCTAGTCCGACTATTGCTACATGAGGAACCTGAAAACAAAAAAGCTTATTTAAAAAATAGAAGAGAAAAGATCTGAGCCACATAAAGTGCAGAAAACAAGCCTTTTTTGTCAATATCCTATTTTGGCCACGCAGAAAAAAAGTAGTAAAAATATGCAAGAAAACGCTTTATTTCAGTGACTGAAAATTTGTCAGATAAGTAGGGTTAGGCCGCTCTCTGATCTATTCACAGTGAACTAAACAGCTATAAAAAAGTACGTTCACTATTGCCCTATCTTTTCATCTTCATAAACGTTTAATGCTATATATTTATATATTTATATATATATGCTATATATATATTTATATATAAAAAAGAAGTAGACGTGTTGAACAGAACTTAGTAGTTCTCGCTATTCAAAAACAAAGTGATTAAATACTAAAGTGGACCAAACTCACAGTTGGATGACGACATTTTATGTCCCAAGTATTTAAAAATATTATACAGGGTGTCCCACGAAACATGACAGTTGGTGAATAGTTTAGAATGCCTTTTTCCATTATTTGTCAATTTGTTTGATACCAAATATCAATACAAATAATATATGAGAGTCATGTTATATTGAAATTGATTTCAAAGTAAAATATAATTAAGCAAAAGATTTGTTTAACTAAAAATAACTATGTATTGTATGTCATGTTTTGTGGGACACCCTGTA